TTACAGGCTGAGCCACCGAGCCTGTCTAATAACCAGTTTTCTAACAACCTTTCCATCACAACTTACTGAGATATAGGGACATAATGCAATATAAAAGCAGGAAAGCTCGGCCAGTGTGGTGGCTCATGCCTGTAATCCCAGAACTTTGGGAGGATCACTTGAGCCCAGGAATTCAAGACCAGCCTGGGCCACATAGTGAGACCTCGTCTCTATAAAAAATCAGATAAATTGGCTCAGTGTGGTGACATGCACCTGTAGTCCCTAGATCATCCCTTCTGGATTATGACAGTTCCCAGGTTCTTGTGTGAAGGATGGTTGTTGGGGACAGGACAAGAAGCTAAGGGGCGAGGCTTAGTGTTAAGGTTCAGAGAGGGGCAGTGACATGCCCAGTGTCACACAAGTGTATGGGTCAAGCTGAGATTCAAACACAGACATTCCAGCCTCCTGACTGATGCCCAGCTGTCCAGCAGATTCTCTTTGGCCTGAGTAGCCCATGGCATCCTTCCTAGAGCCAAAGAGAAGGAGGGATGTCACAGGGTCTTTGGACTGGAGCTTTCTGGGACTAACAGCACTGGTTGGTTTGCCAGGTCCAGACATGTTCTGCCTTTTCCATGGGAAGAGATACTCCCCCGGCGAGAGCTGGCACCCCTACTTGGAGCCACAAGGCCTGATGTACTGCCTACGCTGTACCTGCTCAGAGGTATGTTCCTCTGGCCCCTGACCACCTATGTCAGGTATGTCTGGGAAACCTTCATAGAAGTCACCCCAAGGGAAGACAGACAGTCTGACTCTGGAGGTCACAGGCACCCTGGAACTAGGCCCTCCAGAATCGTGTTGTCAGCCTCAGCTGATGGACTTGGGATATGCCGCTTCTCCATCAAGTAGACGGCTACCGTGTGCTTCCCAGAGATAAGTCACACACAGGATCAGCGGCCGGACTGGGCTGAGGGCCTGGGTCTCCCAGCTCACATCTCAGCCTTCCTTCCACCTTAGGCTGGTGCCAGCCTCCCTGCCTCCCAGGCAGCCCAAGACAGGGTCTTGTTCACCTATTTCCCACCCACCCCTTCCTTTTCACTTACTATTTTCTCCAGCCCTGCCTTGGGATATGTTCCCCAGCTTCACTGACCCAAATATTTATTCTTCAAGGTTATGCCCAAACGGGCAAATGACTTCCAGTTGGAAGTATTTTCTTCTTCTGGGATCCCACATAAGTTTCTCTGTTATTTTCTCCTGATCATTATTGACCAGGTAGCATAGTTAATGGTGTCTGTCAGGTACTGTCCCTCCAAGACTGAGCCCCTGAGATTAGGTCTTGCTAGGCCCTCACTCATGCCCAGTATGATGCCCTGCCAAAGGCTGAACCAGCCGGAGCAGAGACCATGTCTTTGTTTTCACCACCAACTCCTACCAGTCCCCCAATCCAGCACCTCCATAGGGCCTTGTAAAATCAGCTGGGTAAAATAAACAAGACCCTCACATGGTCCAGAATTCTCAGGCAAGTTATGTATGGATTTGGAGACGTGGAAGGGGAGGAAGTAGCTTAGGAGGCTTGAAAAACTCTTGGCTTTAATTCAGTCCAAGGCCCAACCTGGACGTCCCCAGCTATCTTAGTCCTGGTTCTGTACTTAGGGAGAGGAGACAGCTAGCTCCCAGCTGGAGCCAGGTCCTCAGCCTCTCTCTTTCCCTGCACAGAGTCGAGAGGAATACAGAAGGCCTCTAAGAACTTCTGTCGTTAAAACAGAACCCTCTGGGGTAGGGGCAGAGAAGAGCCTCCAAGGGAACTCTGAGAGGTGGTGGAGGATGGGCCAGTCCCTCTCCTGACTCCTCCTGGAGTCCTTCCCTCTGATTCCCCACTGCTTCTACCGTGTTGGCCCCAGGTAGAAGCAGGGACACAATCCCCCTATGACTGCTTCCCTTCAGTTTTCCTGAACACATCTGAGGCCAATCAGATTTTTGCTAAAATAACTTTATGAAATATGGCCAGAGAACAGAAAGGAAAACACAACAGAAAATTCCAGACATAACATGTGGTCCAGTTGACAAAGTCCAAGTTTTTTGAGCCATTGGAACTCATTCATTTCTCCTTTCCCAGAGTTCACTTATACAACATTCCTCGACCCAGAGGACTCTTTCTGGTATCTCCAAAACATGCCCTCTATCCCTTGACTTCTCTCCAACATCACCTCCCCCCCCCCCGCCCCAGGCTAAGCCACCCTCTTTTCTCTCCTGAGCTGCCACACACACCTCCTAACAGGCATCCCTGTTCCTGCCTCTAAATCCACCCTCCACATGGCAGCTAGGATCATCTTTTCTGAACATGAAACTAATCACATCGTTCCACTCTTAAAACCCTCCAATAACGAACTTACTGATGGGTAGACAGAGACCGTGTACTGATTGTCAAGTTGTGATTTAAGAAAAAAAAAAAAAAAGGTGGTGGGAGGCAGGGTGTAAAAAGAACAGAAAAAAGGAAAAAAAAAACCCCTCCAATAGCTTTTTATTAGACCTAAAGTAAAATTCAAACTCCCCCCAGGGGCTCTGCATGTTCTGACTTCCGCCTTATTCTCTAGTTTCATTTCACACCTGCTCACTCCACCGCTTCTGTGGGTTCTTCCAGCACTTGAGACTCATTCCCACTTGCTATCCCCTTCACCTGGAATGTTCTTCCCCCAGATCATCTCATGAATGGCTCCTTCTCATTTTCTAGTTTGTAACATAAATGCTAACTCCTTATGAGGCCTTCCCTGACAGTTGTTTCTAAAATAGTTTGGCCTTGTTAACTAAATCACATTACTCTATTTTATCATGATCATGAATTTACCATCCAAAATTGTCTTGTTCCTACTTGCTTACTTTTTTTTTTTTTTTTTGAGTTGGAATCTCACTCTGTCGCCCAGACCAGAGTGCAGTGGCATGCTCATGGCCACTGCAGCCTCGACCTGCTGGGCTCAGGTGATTCTTCCAACTCAGCCTTCCAAGTAGTTGAAACTACAGGCAAGTGCTACCATGCCTGGCTTATTTTTTTATTTATTGTGGAGATGAGGTCTCACCAAGTTGCCCAGACTGGTCTCTGGCAATCCTCTCGTCTCGGTCTCCCAAAGTGCTGGGATTACAGGCTTGAGCCACTGCCCCTGGCAATACTTGCTTACTTTTTAAGTAGTTTGTCTCTTGCTGCTAGGAGGTAAGCCCTGTAACAGCAGAAATCTTGTCAGTCCCTCTGATTAATCAGAAGAGGACCTGGCACCCAGTAGACATGCAGCAAGTATTCAGTGAATGAATGAATGAGTCCGTGCTGTGTCCCCCAGAGGTAGCTCAGCATCATTGAAAGGGTGTGGGTCCTGCTGACACTATTGACCTGCTGCATGATCTTTGGCAACTTAACCTTCTCCGAGGTGCTTTTCTCATTTCAAAAGTGTGGATAATAGTACAGTATCTACTTCTAGGGTTGTTGAGAAGATGAAGTGAAATGATCTACTTATACGTAATAGAAAGTCCATGGCCAGGCGCAGTGACTCATGACTGTAATCCTAGCACTTTGCAAGGCCAAGGTGAGAGGATGACTTGAAGCCAGGAGTCTGAGACCAACCTGATCAACAAAACAAGACCTCATCTCTAAAACGAACAAGCAAAAAAGGCCCTACCTAGTAGCCACTCATTCACTCAATACATGGAAGCTATGACTTTCCTGAGAGGTTCCCTGTGGCTGCAAAGGGCTTTGCCATGGGCCTCACCCCCTGACCCTTTCACCACTGGTCTGCCTTCCTCTTACTTCCCATTTCATGTTGCTCATCATCTCCATCCCCTGGCACCTCCAAAGCGGGAATCAGGAGAGCGATTCCAACTCTAAAGCCCACACAGGCCCTCCCACACACTCCACCCCAGTGTATCATCTGAGCGCCTCAGTGTGTCCTCTGGACATTTGCTAAGCACCCACGTGTGCCGGCCAGACCTCTAGAAGGCCCCTGTTAGAGCTCAGTCCGGTTCCGTGGACTTTGGGCTGCCCCTTAGCATGGATGAATCCTTACAATAACCTTTAGCCACCTTGGGAAGAAGTGACCCCAGAGGGGCTAGGGCTGTCAAGAATCTTCCATGGGGCCAAAGGCTGCCCCTGGGAAAAGTGCTGTGAGGGTGAGCAGAGGGCAGTGGGAAGGAACTGGGAGGAGAGGGCTGGAGACAGACTTGGCCAACTTCAGAGTTTTGAACAAAGCTGGCCTCGTTGTCTCTGAAAGGAGCATCGACCCCTCCTTTCTGTGCTCTCATTCATGCACTCACTCATTCATTCATTCAGACAAGAGCAGGCACTTGGAGCAAGTCCATGGGCTGGCAATTCCTTTGGAATTACTGGTTGAATCGGTGAGACAGAAGTAAGCGGTTTATCACAATACAGTGGGAAGGGCGAGGTGCAGGAAGGCTGAGGAGGGGCCGACAGACTGTCCAGTGAGCTGGGGAAACCTCCACAAGGGGTGGTGGCCTCTCTCCCTGGTTCTGCTCATCTCTCTGTGTATCTTTCTTTGCCTGATTTGCTCTTATTTGCTGTACTTGAACAAGACAAGGACTTTGCGCCCCTCCTTCTCTGATGCCCACTCCAAAGTCTTTATCCACAATGACGTAAACCTCCTGGAGCTTGAATGGTGGGATCACAAGGTCCTGAGTCTTTTCTGCATCAAGTGTTTAGTCTTGTTCCCCCCAGTCACCTGCCCTCATGTGTTCCATTCCTGTCTTGACCACAAGGCTCAGGCCCCAAGTTAAAAGAACAAAGCTGCAGAGTTAAATAGCACAGTCAGAGCACCAGGATCAATATCAAAACAAGGCTTTTGCTTGTGTTTCTCAAACACCGTGAAGAGGACACAATATCTGAGCATATCCATGAACAGATCTGACCTCCTCCAGGGTGGGAGAGGGACACGGACAAGTGAGCCAAGAGAGATCCCCTGGATGGGCAGAGGAAGGGGAGGGACTGGACACACTTGAGTTTACAGTTTTAATCCTATCTCAGGGCTGGGCACAGTGTCTCACGCCTGTAATCCCAGCACTTCGGGAGGCCAGGGTGAGAGGGTTGCTTGAGCCTAGGGGTGCGAGACTAGCCTAAGCAACATGGGAAGACCTCATCTCCACAACAAATGTTTTAAAAGTTAGCTGGGCATGGTGGCACATGCCTGTAGTCCCAGCTGCTTGGGAGGCCGAGGTGGAAGGATTGTCTGAACCCGGGAGTTCAAGACTGCAGTAGCTGTGATTATGCCACTGCCCTCCAGCCTGGGCGACAGACTGAGACTCCATCTCAAAAACAAAAACAGAAACAACTATCTTAGGCTTAAAACAAGGACAGGCTTCTGCAGTTGGGGTGGGGATTCTGGGAAAGGACAGGTACAGGTGGGAGGCGATGGTTCTTTGGAACCAGGGCTGACCCTTGTGTCCCCTTCAGAGTGCCCATGTGAGTTGTCACCGCCTCCATTGTCCACCTGTCCACTGCCCCCAGCCTGTGACGGAGCCACAGCAGTGCTGTCCCAGGTGTGCGGGTAAGTAGCAGTGCTCCTTCCCTTGCGTCTGCCTCCTGGCCGCCACTACCCTCTCTGGTGCAGCCCTCTGGCTGAGGGAGGCCCCTGGAAGGAGAGAGGCCATCTCTACCCACCAGTCTCCACCATCAAGGCACGTGGGGAGGAAACATCCAGGATCCCCAGGCAGTGCTGGGATTGCAGCCGACTTTTTACTCTTCAGTAGGCATGTGGGGCAAGAGGAGGGAGAACAGGCACACTTGGGCTCCAGTCTCTCTCTGGCTATAGCTGAAGGGTGTGGACACTCCCTGGGAAGCGGAGGTGAGTGGTCTTGGACTGGAAAGCCTTGTAGGGGGACCCCAGGATTATCACACTGGGGCTGGGTATGACCAAAGGAGTTGGCATCTGTATTTGAAGATTCCTCCCAGTGCTGAGTCTTGGAGATTGTGTCCTTTGCTACATGTCTATGCTAAATGTGATTCCATGATTTTAAGATTCTAAGAGCCTCTGAGACTAGGATTCTTAGGAAGGAGAGATAAGAGAGAGAAGTAGTAGTCTGAGAAGATACTGGCACAACCAAGTGGCCAATAAGGGGCAACCAGTGGGGGGACAACTCAGAAGGGAGGGATGTTGAGAGAAGAATCACTGTTTAGAAGCATCAAGAAGGTGATGATGGCCAGATGTGGTGGCTTATACATGTAATCCCAGTGCTTTGGGAGGCCAAGGTGGGAGGATCCCTTGAGGGCAGGAGTTTGAGACCAGCCTGGGCAACACAGAGAGACTTCTATCTCTACAAAAACAAATAAAAAATTAGTGAGGTGTGGTAGCACACCTATAGTCCCAGCTACTCAAGAGGCTGAGACAGGAGGATCACTTGAGCCTAGGAGTTCGAGGTTGCAATGAGCTATGATCACGCCACTGCACTCCAGCCTAGGCAACAGAGCATGACCTTGTCTCCAAAAAAAAAAAAAAAAGTTTGGCTTTAACTCTGAGCTCTGGAACCAGGGCTATCCTAGGCAACTGATGTGGAGCATGTGTGAAGAGGGGTTCATTTTCTAGGGGGAACCCCAGTAGGGATCTGGCCATGGCCCCAACTTGGGTCAAAGGATTCTTGACTTTGGATTTTCTAGGGAACAGAGACTCTCAGCCTCATCCTGCCCAGTGAAGAGGCATCATGCTTCCTCCATGTCTGACACCAACTCCAGGGGACCTTACCTTTCCTTGTTGACTTTGGGATTCCCCTATGCTTGGCCCAGGGCCCTTATTACCCAAGTGCTCTTCACTCCCTCTCTTTTTCCATCCCTGCCCCTTTGTCTGCTTGGCTCTACTGTCCTCAAGCCTCAGCTCAGCTATGACCCCTTTAGGAACCCTTCCATGACCACCCCTCCCTGGCTGAGTTAGGGGCTTCTCCTCTGTGCTACCACAACTCCTGTGCTTCCATCCACCCTAGTCCTTACCTACCATAGTGTCATTGCCTGTGACTTGTCTCTCTACCCAATTAAATTTTGAGTTTCTTAGTGGCAGGGGCTGCATCTTATTCCTATTCCCAGGGCCTACCACAGTGCCTGGTAGAACATTGCTTAGTAAAAGGGTCTTCACTGGATGTGGTGGTTCACATCTGTAATCCGACCACTTTGGTAGGTGGAGGTGAGAGGATTGCCTAGGCCCAGGAGTTTGAGACCAGCTTGGGCAACTTGGTGAGACTGCGTCCCTACAGTAGATAAAAAATTTTAGCTGGGCATGGTAGTACACCTGTAGTGAGAGCCCAGTAGGTATTTGACTGTGGCTCTGACTTAGGTCATTGAGATTCTTGACTCTGAATTCTCTAGGGGAGCAGAGGCTCTCAGCCTCATCCTGTCCAGTGAAGGGACATTGTGCCTCCTCCTTGTCTGACACTGACTCTGGGGTCCTTTCCTTTCCTTGCTGACTTTGGGATTTCCCCAGTTACTTGAAAGGCTGAGGCGGAAGGATTGCCTGAGCCCAGTAGGTCGAGGCTGCAATGGCTGTGAGTGTGTGACTGCACTGCAGCCTGGGTGACAGAGTGAGACTCTGACTCAAAAAAAAAAAAAAAAAAGGTGGGAGGTGGGCATCTTGAATGAATGAGGGGGTTTTCTCGGGACTGGAGGCTTACCCCACTGCCCAGCAGGATGAAGACTGAGTGATGGGCAGATGATGGAGGGCAGGGCTCTGGTAGCTAGTGAATGACAGGAGTTTACACCAAGCACAAGAACAGTCTAGATCATCCCAGCTGGCTCCACTAGCAAGTAATTTCAAGGGGGCAGGGACTCTATTCTGTTCACTGCTGCATCCCCAATACCTAGAATAGCACCTGGCACTGGAGGAGCTCGGTGAACACTTGTTCAATGGTGAATGAACCCACTCAGCCCCCACACAAGTAGGGTTTAGTGGAGCTGAGGCTTCCAGTTTTTCCTTCTTGCTGTGGTTGGGGCCAGCTAGATCATTGGGGGGGTGGAGGGCACTGAAAGGTGTGGTGGGGGCCGTGGAAGGGAGTGACATGGTCAGATGTAGGTAACAGCAGGACCTCTTGGTCAGCTGATGTAGAGAATGGCTGACAAGGCCAAGACCAAAGCTCTTTTAACTGTCAAGATGGGATAAAATGCAAAATCTTCAGAAAATCTACCTAGTTAATTTCAGCAAAGATCCAAGATCCACACGAAACCTCATTTTCTTCTTCCTCCCCACCCGCAGAGCCTCACACCCCCTCTGGGCTCCGGGCCCCCCCAAAGTCCTGCCAGCACAATGGGACCACGTACCAACATGGAGAGATCTTCAGTGCCCATGAACTGTTCCCCTCCCGCCTGCCCAACCAGTGTGTCCTCTGCAGCTGCACGGTAAGACCTTCTCCTCTCCCTTTAGCCCAAGCCGGTGATCTGGGCCTACAAAGAGCACAGCAGTGTGCCCTGGGGGGTGGGATGGGGAATTGATCTCCCAGGTCAAAGTAGTGTGAGAATGAATGAGCTCAGGGAGAAAGAAACATCTGGGGTTTGGAATGTGCCTCCAGCTGGGTCAGTGACCCTGCCCTGGGCATCCACATTCTCCAGAACTTTCTGTTCCTCCCAGTAGATGCCACTGTCCTTGAGGGGAGGAAATATACCTTTTCATTGCTGTATCTTCTCCTGCTCTAGGTTTAGAGCCTAGCATACAGAGGATGTCTGTAATGATCATTGGATGAAAGGATGAATGAACAATGAACAAATGATCGGTTTTCTGTTCTGGGGCACAGAGACAGGGTCATATAGTTTGTTGCAAGTGGAATTTAATCTGAAGTTACTTGAACTCCTCTTGTCTATGGTCAGAGTTGGGCTTAGGGACAGATGGGGCTGACTCTATGGTGTTATCAGGGGCTGGAGACTGAAGCTAGGCAGGGCCTGATCTGGAAAGTCTGCACCCTCCTCCTCGTACGGGAAGGGGGAGGTCTATGTGTGGACCCTCTATAGGTTTGCAGGTGGCTTTCAGCATGTCATCCTCAACCTTGGGCTTAGGAACTCATCTGAGAACTGGCAGGAGAAACCCCTGCCCTCCCAATTTCCTACCTACCTGATCAGCACACTTCTCTGGACCTCAGTTCCTCTGAGTCGGAAGGGAGTCTGACCAAGTGATCTTTAGACTAGGTGGCAGGGACCAGCGTTTGAGCTCCAGCACTACTCTGGTTCCCTGTGACCTTGCACGAGTCACTTCTCTTCGGCCTGCCTCCTCATCTTTTCAGCGAGAACGTCCTCTCCATCTGAGGCTCTAAATCTTAAAGTTCCAGTGCTGCAGAACAAACAACCTACAACAATGAGGAGTAACTGCTTATAAGTCATTCCTTTTTGTAGGCTGTGAGCCTTTGTAGGCCATGATCTATATTGCATCACTAGGTTCATAAAAACATTTGTTTATATACAGTATCCCAGCAACCCTGGGAGAAGATATCACTATTTCTATTTTTCAGATAAGGAAATTGGGGCTCAGAACTGTTAAGTGACTTGACGAAGGTCACACAGCTAGTAAGTGGAAGAGCCAGAATTCCAACGCAAGGCTACCTGCCTCAAAGCCCAAAATCTTGCCGGGTGCAGTGGCTCATGCCTGTCATTCCACACTGTGGGAGGCTGAGGCAAGAGGATTGCCTAAGCCCAGAGCTTCCAGATTAGCCTGGGCAACGTGGCAAGGCCTTGTCTCTACAATAAATCTAAAAATTAGCTGGGTGTGGTGGCACCCGTCTGGAGTTTCAGTTACTTGGAAGGCTAAGATGGAAGGATCGCCTGAACCCAGCAGATTGAGGCTGTGGTAGCCGCTGTGAACGTGCCACTGTACTCCAGCCTGGGTGACAGTGAGACTCCAACTCAAAAAAAAAATTTTAAAAGCCCAGGTTCTTCTCCCCATGGTGTCATGCTGCCTCCTGGAGGGCACAAAGACCTGGATTAAGAGGCACTGTGTAAAGGGACAGAAATGATAGGTGGTGAAAGCATTCTTGTGATTCCTTTGTTTATTTTTCCTGGATACTCCCCTTCTTTCCTCTCTTCTTTATGTGGGGCTGGCTTGGCTCCTGGCCTCCCCTAAAAGACTAGAATCCTCACTTCTCAGCCTTCCTGAAAAGGAATAGCGAAAAAACTCAAGGCAATGGCACTTCCTCCCCAGAACTTTGTGCCTTACAGTTTAAAAAGGGTGCTCACAGGTAGAACACAGTGGCTCACACCTGTAATCCCAGTACTTAGGGAGGCTGTGGCTGAAGGATTGCTTGAGCCTAGGAGCCTCAGCGACAGAACTAAACCTCATCTCTACAAAAAAATAAAAAATAAAAATAGCCAGGTGTGGTGGCGTATGCCTGTAGTCCCAGCGACTGGGGAGGCTGAGGCAAGAGGCTGTGGTGAGCCGTGATTGTGCCACTTCACTCCAGCCTGGACAACAGAGACTCTGATTCAAAAAAAAAAAAAAAAAGTGTTCACCACCATTTCTCACTGTATCTTCAGACCCCAGATGGGTGCCACCATTTCACAGAGGAAGAATCTTAGGCCCAGAGGAAAGAAATGACCCACCAAAGGTCATCTGCCCCCTGATTCCTGAAGGCCCTTTCCCCTGCAGTCCTGCCTTTCAAGGCTGGATCCTGAAGTTGGAGACTAAAGGTTTTTAGTAGGAACAAGATGAGCTTACGTATCTCTCATCCCTCCCCTCTCCCTGCTGAACTTGCTATTCCAGGTTAGGGGAGAAAGACGTTGATTTCAGTAGGAAAAGTCTGAAGACCAGGCTGTAGTCCATTTTGCCCCGACTGTCTCTCTGACTTGAGATGGCTCAGGCCCCATCAGTCTCCTCATCTGTGGGATGGGGAGAATCTCACCTCCCAGGTTGCTGTGAGAGCCTGGGGAGAGAATGGGTACAGAGAAGCCTTAGAGGTTGAAGGATGTATGTTGTCTGCAGGGCCTGGAAGTGGGAGTAGAAGGGTGCAGGGGACCCTCCTCTGAGCGGGCTGGGCCTTGCTAGGAGACTATGCTGCTCCCGCCCTTGTGCACCTCAGGGGAGACCTCAGGTCATTTGCCTTCAGGGAAGAAATGTCGTAGTCCCCAAGGCTGGTCCTCTGCAGAGTTTGTTTGCCAGCCCATTTGCTCTATCTGTCAGGAGGGCCAGATCTACTGTGGCCTCACGACCTGCCCAGAACCAGGCTGCCCTGCACCTCTCCCGCTGCCTGACTCCTGCTGCCAGGCCTGCAAAGGTGAGTCTGACCCTAGATCTGGCAGTGCCCACGCCCCCTCCATGGGTCAGGCCTAGGAACCTCAGGGGACACCCAGAGTGTAGCTGACCATCCCCTCCTCCAGGGTGGTAGCCTAGCCTAGGCCCCTCAGGAGGCAGAGTCTGGGGCAGCAGATATGCTGCATATTTGTTATTGCAACCCCGGGAGCAGGAATAAGAGAAAGGAGAAGTGAAACAGGGAAGGAGAGAGAAGCAACGCAAGAATGTGTTTGGGAGCTGGCGTCGCTGGATAACCAAGTGTGACCTATTGTTCTAAGCAGTCTTCTGCTTCTCAGAAAAGTCTGGAGGCTGGGTACTATGGGTCACGCCTATAATTCTAGCACTTCAGGAAGCCAAGGTGGGAGGATCCCTTGAGACTGGGAGTTTGAGACCAGCCTGGGCAACATAGTGAGACTTTCGTTTCTACGAAAAAATCAAAGATATTACTAGGCACAGTAGCACACGCCTCTAGTCCCAGTTACTGGGGAGGCTGAGGTGGGAGGATCATGAGCCAATTTCGCACCACTGTACTCCAGCCTGGGCAACAGTATTTAACTCTCTTAAAAAATAAAGAAGTCTGGGGGTAGTAGAGGAAGAAGTAAAAATGTACCCACCAACCACCAACCCTCACTGGTCAAAAGCTCACCCTAAGTGTGTGTGGGTGCTGGGAGCAGAGGCAGAAGTGGGGTGGGGTAAGAAGCAGGAGCAGGGCATATGGATAGAAGGTATGGGCGTGAGGAAAGCTGCTGTCCTGCTGAGCCCCCGTAGGGGACATGCAGCTGCAGTGCCTGCCTCGAGTGAACAAAGTCCCCACCATCAGATGAGGCCGAGAGGACCTGAAGTGGCACGTGAGAGGGGTCTAGTGCAGGCAGGGACTATGTCTCTTCATGTCTTCTTCATGGCAGAGCTGGGCACAGGGTTGGGCTTGCCAGGGCTCAGAGTGTGTCTGTCAAGCAGGATCCAGGTATTCATGGAATCTCTAGATAAAACAGAGTGGCCAACACATCAGCTAGTGAAGGACAGACTGACCTTGAGCAGGATAAAGTGGTCGGACTGTTCTCTGTGGGCTGGGGTTGCCAAGGAAAGCTTCATGGGGAGGTGGCACGCAGGTGGGGGAGTACTCCACAGCGGAATGCTGTCCCAGTTGGTGTTTTGGAAGGAGCACTGGACCAGCAGTCAGGTGACTCCAATTTAGGCCCTGGTTTTTCTAGCTAACTCCACAGATTCCTTCCTCTCTGTGGGCTTCAGTCTTGCCCTGTATCCCCTAGTGGTTGAATTCCAATGTTCTGGGTCTTTAAAGTAGGGATGATGGGAGTCAGATCGCGTGGTGAGGGAAGCGCTAAGAAGAAAGAAATCCACTCAGGACTTTAGGAAGCTGCAGGGCCCCCAGGGGAATGGGTCCTGGAAGAGTCCTAGGGTGCTCAAGCAGGATGGGCAGAGGGACTAGAGGGCAGGGCCCTGGGAGTATGTGGTGTAAACCAAGGCCTGGCTCTCCATGCCAGGCACTGAGGGGTATGGCCCAGGGTCCCAGAGAGGTGACTTCGAAGTAAGGACTAAATAAGATGCTGTGACCCACCCAAGCAGTTGAGTCCTAATCGTCACCAGATGGTCAGTCTGCCTTTCCAAGGCAGAAACCAGTTGTAGGAACTGTGTCAACCCCACAAGGATGAAGAGAGCCTGTCACGAGATGTGGAATAAGTCCCCACTGAGGCAAAGGGACCTGCTGGTGGCCTGGGGCTGCAGAAGTGGCACTAGGCCTCAGGGAGGGGCAGAGCTATAGATGGCATCTCAGGGCTCTAGCCAGCAAGGCTGGAGAGCCTGAGGCTGACACAGCTTCCCTTTGAGTTTTCAGATGGGTCAGGTGAAAAGTCTGCCGAAGAGGACAGCGTGCAGTCACACCGTGGGGTGGTGAGTGCCCGGCTTCACTGATGGGGTGAGAGAGGAGGTGGCCTCAATCTTCATGACTCTGGAGTGGGCAGTACCGGTCACTGTCCTCATTTCTTCTTTGTCCCCTGAGTCAGCTGTATTAGCCTCCTTCCCTTCCATCATGGTTTCCATCGTGGCTGATGGGCATGATGGGGTGATGGGAGGAAACGGTTCACTCTGCAGTGCAGGAACAGGCCCCAGTCTTCTTCAATACCCTCTCGGGAAAATCTCTGCCACTGTTCCATCCAGAGCCTGTGTCTCTCCTTAGTTCAGGCCGTCTCTGGGGAGCACGTTCTCCCAAGGGAATGGCCTCTGCTCAGGCCAGCCTTGCCCACCCAGTTTCTGAGGTCCGAGTTCTTTGTCTGGGTCTATCTCTCTGTTCCCTCCTCTCTCTTGGCCCCTCTCAGTCTTGGTCTAGAGTTAAGTCAGGCTTAACTTGCCAACTCTCTCTGGTCTGAGAGGAATGAGACGGGAGATTGGGTCACACACTGACTCAAGTCCCTGCTCTATCCTCTGTTGTGTCTACAATGTGAACACCTCAACCTGTTCTTTCAGCCTGGGTCCCCTAGGGGACTGGAGACTGGGCGACCCTTCCCAGAGATTCCCCGGGGGTGTGAGCTGACCACCTCACCCTTCTTTAACCTCATCCTGCCTTCCAGGCTGAGTTCTCAGGTGGGGGCCTGAGACCTGAGGCCTGGGGGTACTGCAGGACCCAGGGCCATTCCATCCCCTTGCCTTCCCACCCTTTCCCTGGAAGGCAGTACGTAAGTGAAACCCACCCAGCCTTAGTTCTAGACCCCCTCAGCTACCTACTGACTTGCTGGGTGATGGCAGTGAGTCCCCACTTGAGGGTGGGCTGTTTGACTCCTTGCCTCTGTTCTACTCAACAAGCATTTCCTGGCAGCTTCCCACGTGCCTCGACCTGTGCTGGGGCCTGGGCCAGTTTCCACTCTTGGACTGGTCTCTGGGCCATCAAAGAATGGACTTGAAGACTGTACCAGGCAGCAATGGGCTCTAGAAAAAGGAATGTGAGTGACTCCGGGTCTGCGAGGAGGTACTCGGCTCTGCTCCTTGTGCCTGGCCTACTTGCTTCTCTCCCATGGCCTGGAGCTGCCCTGTCCCCAAATTGTGAGCTGCCCTCACCACACAACTTCTTTTGTCATCACTGCGAGCCTTCCCAGGACCCGGTCTGGAGGAACAGGGTCTTGAGGTCTTAGATTCCAGGGGCTCAGGAAGGAGGCTTCGAGTTCCAGAGACCCTTATCTGGAGAGGGCCCGCTCTTAGTCTTTGTGCCCCATGAGGCTCAAGGCCCGGTGGGATCATCAGAGGTTTATCCCCTTGTCCCATCACCTAAATCTCAGGCAAAGGAGGGTTTCCTGACTTGCATCCTCACTACACACTCACCTTCTGTTTCTTAGCTATTAAGTTCTCCATAACCTTAATCAGTTATGTATCTCAGATCAAGACCTCATCACGCCTTCCCCACTCCAGCCCCAAGGCCCTGGCTCTAACAAGGCCTGAGAAGGGCTTAGTGGAGGCTGGATTTTCGAGTCGCTGTCCTGTGGGAGTTTTGAAAGATCCACTGTCTGAAAACCTCTTCAATCCCATCCAGATCTTTCTACCCCTGTGCCTTCTCTTCACTGGGAAGGCCTCCTGTTGCAGCTTGTCTTGCTGTTCCTCCACCAGCTGTGAGTGGCCACACTCAGTCCATGATCTCTTGCCATTTGCAGAGACATTCTCAGGATCCATGTTCGGGTGATGGCGGGAGAAAGAGAAGTCCAGGCACCCCAGCCCCCACTGGCCTCAGCCTCCCTCTGGGCTTCAGCCCTCGCCACTTCCGACCAAAGGGGGCAGGCAGCACGACTGTCAAGATTGTCCTGAAGGAGAAACATAAGAAAGGTGGGGACTGGACCCTCCTCTAAGGTGAAGCGGGGAAAGGGTGCCCTGATTTCTCCCACTTTCCACCCCCTGAATCCTCCACCCAATCTCTATTTGGCCATGAGCTTGTAGACTCAGAGAACTCAGGTGCCCTTAAAAGTTAGCAGGTCTAAATCCCCATTTGACAGATGAGGACACTGAGGTTCAGAGTATTGTGTTAGAGAGAGAACCAGTCCTAGAACAGTACAATTTTTTTGAGCATCTGCCATGTCTTTGCTGGGAAATGGGGGAGACAACAGATAGATGAAAAATGGTCTCTTCCCTCAAGGGGCTCATAGACCAGGTGGGGAGACAGACATTTAAATAAATTAATATAAGGAAGTGCTGAGGGAAAGTGTTTGACAAAGAAGGAGGAAGCAGAGCTGGGCTGGAGCAGGACAGTGGGCATGGCATAGGGACAGTGAGCATGGAATGGACACAGTAGCCATGGAGTGGGTACAGTGGGCATGAAGTGGGGATAGTGGGGCCAGTGGAGCAGGGAAGCGGGGACAGTGGGCATGGAGTGGGGACAGCGGGCCTGGAGTGGGGAGAGTGGGCATGGAGTAGTGACCTTGGAGTAGTGACAGTGGGCATGGAATGGGAACTGTGGGCATGGAGTGGGGACAGTGGAGCAGGGAAGCAGGGACGGTGGGCATGGAATAGAGACAGTGGGCATGGGGTGGAGATAGTGGGCCTGGAGTGGGGAGAGTGGGCATGGAGTAGGGACAGTGGATATGAAGTGGGGACTGTGGGCATAGAATGACAGTGGGCATGGAGCAGGGACAATGGGCATGGAACAGGGACAGTAGGCATGGAGAGGGGACTGTGGCCATAGAATAGTAATAGTGGGCATGGAGCAGGGTCAGTGGGCATGGAGAGGGAACAGTGGGCATGGAGTGGGGAAAGTGGCCAGATGGGCAGCCATGGCTGCTGAAGGGGAGAAAGGGGTCCTCACTGCAGGGCACCCCAAATGTGGAGAGAGAAGAGCAGTGGGGCTGCCGAGTCCTGGCCCTCCTTTGTACAGATGGGACACTGAGGCAGGGAAGGGGAAAATGACCTGCTGGGGCTCACAGAGCCAGGTGGTACAGAAGTTGATGTCCATTCTCCTGCTGCCAGGCCAGCGCTCTCCTGGCTCAGTCGAAGGCAGGGGAGGACTCTCCATCTTTAGCAAGTCCCTGCTGGGCCCATCTCAATCCTGAGTGCTGAGATGGGGAGATGTCAGGGGCAGGGGGCATGTTGTAATACCCCAGCCTGCACTGCGGCAGGGCTAGCCTGGTGGAGCGGGACTCCCAGGGCCCACCTGCCCCTGTTGGACAGAGGCTCTGGCCAAGCCCCAGACACTAACTCGACCCTTCCTGCCCTCCTTGTTCCAGCCTGTGTGCATGGCGGGAAGACGTACTCCCACGGGGAGGTGTGGCACCCGGCCTTTCGCTCCTTTGGTCCCCTGCCCTGCATCCTGTGCACCTGTCAGGATGGCCGCCAGGACTGCCAGCGTGTGACCTGCCCCACTGAGTACCCCTGCCACCACCCTGAGAAAGTGACTGGGAAGTGCTGCAAGATTTGCCCAGGTACAGGGGCATGGGAGCAGTGAGGGCACCGGCCAGTGCGAGCCCTGGGTCTTTCTTCCCAGGGCTGCAGACACTTGGAACATCTCAGACAGGGAAGGGCATGCGGTCACAACCACAGAATGCAGAGACTGCTAGAAGCACAGGAGTGGAAAGTGTCAGACTTGAAGACATTAAACTTACGGAACCATCTCATGTTATAGTAATAGATTCAGGGGTTGTCGACACAGACAGAATCAAATAATGTTCTGGATCCCATGAAGACACAGCATCTCAGAATATTAGGACTTTCAAGAGAAATAGACAATGTTTATTAGATACTTCATGGGCTTCTCGTCTCTCCCAGAGGACAAGGCAGACCCCAGCCAGAGTGAGATCAGTTCTACCAGGTGTCCCAAGGTGCCGGGCCGCGTCCTCGTCCACACCTCGGTATCCCCAAGCCCAGACAACCTGCGTCGCTTTGCCCTTGAGCATGAAGCCTCTGACCAGGTGGACATCTACCTCTGGAAGCTGGTGAAAGGTGAGTGTTGGCCCACTCCCAGCTGGGTGTACCTCTTGCCTGTCCCCATTCCTGTGCTCCAGACCCCACAGGGGCCTTGGGGACATTTTGTTGCTCAGGCACCTCCGGTCACCCTTCCAGGCTTATGGGTCCCCGATTCCGAGATGTAGGGAGACAGTGATCCCATGTGTGATCCTCTGACTGGTCTGATAAGCAGAGTAACTGAGATGCCGAGGCCTCGAAGTGCTCCCTCTCCTGGGGGAAGGCGTTGTTGCACCTTGCCGAAACCAGGCAGGGTCATACCTACCCTGATGTCAGATGGGCGGATTTCATCACTCTGTGAGTGGAGATCTTTTCAGGCAGTGGGGCCTCAAGGCTAGTTGCGTTCAGCCTTTTCTAAATGGTGGGTCCTGTCACCCCAAGGTAAGGTGGCATCAGAACACACTTCTCATTCATTGAGAAGAGTTTTCATTGAGAAAGGAATTACTAAGAGTTTGGCTTTGTGGCTCTCATAAAACTTAAATCCTCTGGGTACAGCGAAGCATTCAGCCACCATCCGAATTAGCCTTTTTTAAGTGTGAATTTGTCCCAAGGTCACTTTCCTCTGCTGATGGGTTTGACTGGGAGGCTGGGGATGGGAGAGGGAATGGTGACAATGGGAATAACAACCAGTGTGTGTAGCACTTCAGCATTTACAAAGTGCTTTCACATTCACTATCTCATTTGATCCTCAAAGATCCTGAGAGTCAGGTATTATTATCCCCATTTTACAGATGAGGAAACTGAGGCTCAGAGAGGTGAAGTACCTGGCCCAAGGCCACACAGCCAGTAAGTGGAGGACGGGAGCTAGAGCCCATGTCTTGTGGCGTCAGATGCGGCTCTTTCCCTGCTCTGCCCCCTGTCGTAGGAGGAATGGACGAAGAAAGTGGAGCCGTTCCGCCTGGACAAGAGAAGACTCAGGGGGACAGGACTGCGGCTTCCTGGCTCTGAAGGGCTGCCCCAGACAGAGGGAGCAGCCATGTTCTGAGTAACCGCAAGGGTCAGACAACAAGCAGGAGCTTGGGGTTCGAATTCCAGCTCTGTCAGTTTGGATACTGACTGCTATCCCTTAGTTGTGTGGCCTTAGGCAATCACCTGTCCTCACTGGGTCCCAGTTTTCTCTTCTGTTAATTGGGGAAGAAGGTTTTTGGAGGATTAAATGAAATGACATGGGTGCGGCCCCTCACATATAGTAGGCGCTAAAAATGTCAGTTCCCCCTCCCCACCCTTCCTTGGGGTTGGTGAGAAGTGCAGAGAGATGGGTTTCAGCTTGGTTTGAGGAAGAACTCTTCATACTTAGAGCCTCTCCGTGGTGGAAGGGAGGGAGTGAGCTCCCCTTCGAGATGTGTGCAAGCAAGGGCTCGGAGGATTGTCTGCAGCCAGGGAGTTAGACTCAGTAACCCTTACAAGTTTTCGAGGCTTAAGATTCCATCGGTCCCTGGGCAGATGTTGACTACACATTTACTCTGGGCCTCTCTCCTCCTTCCCCACCCCTATCCTCCCAACCAGGTGCTGGGACACAGAGAGTAATAGGCTCCAGCCTCTCTTGTTGGGAGCTTATGGCTTATGACCCAGGTGCAGCAGGAACTTCCTGGGAGCTGAACTGGTCAGGGAAGTCTTCGTCCAAGATTTCAAGAGGCAAGAGGGGTGCATTGCAGGCAGGATGGCAGTGACAGCCTCAAACCCTGGCTCCAGAGCCACGCTCATATGCCCTGTGCTCTGTGATCAGTACATAGCTGGCCCTGTGTGTAACGTGCCTCCTTTAATCCCCATGAGAAACCTAAGGGGTATGTGTTAATGGCCCCTTTTGCAGGTAAGAAAACTAAGTCTGAGAGGTCAGATGACTTGCTCAAAGTTACACAGTTTAAATAGTAAAGCGAAGATTCGAGCCCAAGTTTGACTGTCCCTAGTGCCACAGAGGTGATCTTATGCTTTTAGGGAGGTACCTGAGGAAGATCTAGGTACAACAAGATGGCAGAGAAGGAGTATAGTATATGGCCAATCTCACTGTCACCAGACCCCGCAGAAAAGGAACAAGGTGGGGGACTCCTCAGCCTCACCATCCTGTCACTAGCAAACCACCCCCTATCTCCTGAATCTGGGGCTGCCTAAATGCCCCATCAGCCTCCCCATTCCTTCCATGTCCCAGACTATGGGAATCAAAATACACACTCCCCAGGGCTGATTGTCAGCAGAAACCACTCCCTGTTTCCATACTCTGAGGAGACAAGGCATGTAGGCAGACACTAGGTAAGGCCACGCTCCCATGGGCCGGCTCAGGCACCAGAATCTGAGTGGAGAGCTGGCTTAGGGTTAGGGGCCTGGGAGATTCAAAGTTTCAGAGTAGAAGGGACTTCAGGGGTCTCGATTCTAAGCCCTGCCTAGGAAGGAAGCCTCCCTGCAGTCTCCTAAGAGTCTGATGGTGTCTGGCCCTGTTTGCACATTACACGCCCCCCCGACACGTGATTTACTTCCAACATGGAACAGCTCGGCCAGAGAGCATTTGTCTGATACTGAGCTGAGCCCATCCTGTTTCCTGGGACTCACCCACTAGTGCCAGCTCTGCCCTGGGGATCATACAGCCCAGCTGCCCTCAGACCTGGCACAGCCCATCAAAGGGCAGGAGATACAACTCTGACCCTCAGGGTAGCTCTTGCTGCCAGGCCAAAGAGCCAAGTCCTTTCGATTATGCTTAACAGAGTACAGAGTGGGGACTCCCACATCCCTATCACCATCTCCCCAGTTTTCCTATGACCCGAGGAGTGTGCAGATACAGGTCTGTGCAGAAGGACCTGTCCCCGTCTCATGCTTGTCACCTGCTACTGTGATGTAGCTCCTGGGCCTTGGAGTCTCTTCCACATCCTGGTCCTTAGCATCTGAGCTAGGGGCTGGGGACAATGCTGGACATTTCCTGGTTCTTGGAACTCGGCCCCAGGATCAGTGTTTTCTGTTTCCCTTGGTGGGATCCCACGCTGATTCCCATAAGCAGGGCCAGTTCTTGGTTTTCCTGAAGGCAGTGCTGGCCTAGCAGAGGCCTTGCTGGCTGCATCTGTTCTTTCTGGCCAGGAACTTTGGTGGGTAACAGCTGGTGCAACCTTGCAGCCCATGTGCTTAGGGCCTCAGCCATGTGTGGTGCCCGTGACTAGCTCCCCATGAGATGCAAACATCAGGGGATCCAGCTAATACCCTCTTCCCCCTCAGGGCTGGGCCTAGACTGGGTATATAGATATATTTGTTCATCCATCCATCCTACTTGGCTAATGTTGGCCAGGATCCAGGGATCCAGAGAAGAAAGCCCTCCAGGAAGCCCCAGTCTGGTAGAGAAGGCAGAAATAGACACAAAGATAACACATCTGAACTAGTACAATCACAAACCGAAGCCAAGGGCTGTGGGTACCCCAAGGAGGAACTGCCTCGGGGGTATATTAGGGAAGACCTCCCTGGTAAGGCTGGGGGATGGGTAGGAGTTCAGTTGGTGGCAATATCGAAATAGAAGGAAACAGAAGAAAGTATTCCAACAGAGGGGATAGCATTTGTAAAGGTTTGGCCGCCTCGGAGGAATTCAAGTATTTGGTTAGGGCTGGGCACAGGCAAGGCCCTACAACTCTGACACTTGCTAGTTCTTTGGTGTCTCTAAGCACACCTACTGATTTTTATGATATGCTCTTTGCCCAGAGAAGTGTTTGAACAGTCCATATAGGCCAGCCAACCTTCCTTCCCTCCTTCCTTCTCTCCCTGCACTGGGGAGAAGTGAGTGCTAGGAGAGCAGGGTAGTGCTGGTGACAGGAGCAGGGTTGGCAGAGAGAAGAGACCGAAGAACATAGACCCACTGTAGAGGTGAAGGGAGGTCAGGGACGGGGAAATGACAGGGTCACACATACACTTTCAAATGACCACAGTTAGGTTGACGGATTAGAGGGGAAAGTGAACAGGGCCAGGACTCTAGTGGCGTGACCCAGGCAAGACAACGGGAGCTGAGTGAGGAGACTGGCAGTGGGATAGGAGAATCCATTCTAACTGTTTAGGAAATTTAACCAACAGGATTCAGTGTCTGATCAGGATGGGGGCAGCAGAGGGAGGTGCCCAGGGCAGTGCTGTGTCTAAGATACCCTGTTTCACTGACCGTATGGTCCTGCTTTTCCTGCTCATGCTCTTGTCTCTGCCCTCAGGAATCTTCCACTTGATTCAGATCAAGAAAGTCAGGAAGCAAGACTTCCAGAAAGAGGCACAGCACTTCCGGCTGCTCACTGGCACTCACGAAGGTGGGTCCTTGGACTGAGGAACGGGCCTCAGGGAAGAGGACAGGGATAGAGGCTGGAGCCTCTAGGGGAGTTCCCAGGCTGCTGTGGGAGGAGGGGCTGTCAGCCACAGACGTCAGTTCCCAGCATAGGAATCCAGTGGGCGTCTGAGCCAGAAATTTCCCAACTCAGGAGCGGGAAGGTGAAGCACAGCTGGCTGGATTTGGTCTTGGGGGTGAGGGGAGACAGGGCTGTAGAGGGGGCAGATCTGAGCCCCCAAGCCTCAGTGCTGCCTACTCCCTCTCTACTGGAACATTTCCCACTGAAACCCGCCTACCATTTTCCTTCTGATACCCTGAATTTGTGCCGCTTTACTTTTAGGAGGATGGTTACAGGTAGGGCTTTGGAAGGGAAGGGAGGCCACAAATGGGAGTATCACCAACAGGTGCTACCAACAGGTGTCAGGAAGCCAGCCCTGCCCCCAAAGTTTGGTTGTTTGAAGATTGGTCATGTGCCAGAATGGGGTGAGGGGACGTTTACCCCTATGCTCCCCATGGACCCCAAACCCTGGCCCACACAGTTCCTCCTTGCCCTAGGCTTTTCCCACCCCAGCCACTGCGTGTGTGTGTGTGTGCGCGCGCGCGCACACACACACACACACACACACACACACACACACACACACACACACTCACACACACTCCTCCTCTCTTCTGCCATCCTCCATGCAGGTCACTGGAACGTCTTCCTAGCCCAGACCCCGGAGCTGAAGGTCACGACCAGTCCAGACAAAGCGAGCAAGACATTATAACAAAGACCTAAACAGCTACAGATATGAACTTTATTATTTCTGTTATTATATATTAATAAATAAGAAGTTGCATTACCCCTCCCCCCACCTGCTGAGTTCGTATCCCACCTTCTGCGTGCTCTCACTGTGACTCTGCAAGGCATGCTGGCTTTTCACCATTTTACAGGGGTGGAAACTGAGATCCAGAAGGGGCAAAGAATGACCCCAGTCCTCACAGTGAGCTGTCACCCGAGCCAGGGATGGTTGCCCCTGCCTCCCTGCCTAGGCCTCCAGCTATGGCACCCCTGCTTTTACCAGTAGCCCCCATCCCTTGGGCCCTTGGCACTGAGCCTAAGCTAAGAAGGGGCTGACTCTGCTTAGCCAGGGAGTGGTGGATGAAGCTTCAAGGCAGAGTCCCAGCGGATATTCCAGGTAACTGTGAAAGACACTGTCAGTCATTTGGCCTGCCTATGTGTACAAGTCCTTACAATTAAAGATGCATAATGCCCGTGATTTCACTTACGGTGAACAATGTAGGAATTACCCACACATTTTTCTTTTGAGTTGGAGTCTCACTCCATTGCCCAAACTGGAGTGCAGGGGCACGCTCACAGCCACCCCAGTGTTGACCTGGTGGGCTCAGGCGATCCTTCCACCATAGTCTTCCAAGTAGCCAGAGCTACAGGTGCACACTACCATGCCCAGCTAATTTTTGACTTATTGTAGAGACAAGGTCTCGCCAAGTTGCCCAGGCTGTTCTTGAACCCGTGGGCTCAGGTAATCCCCTCACCTCGGCCTCCCAAAGTGCTAGGATTACAGGCTTGAGCCACCGTGCCTGGCAAAATTACCCACACTTTAGAGAGGAGGAAACGGGGACTCAGGATTGCCAAAGGCCTTCCCCAAAACCTCACAGAGCTGTGTGGTGAAGCCGGGGCTAGAACTCAGGCCTCCTGACTCCCAGGCAGAGTTCTCTCCTCAGTTCAGTTGGTCTCAACCATCCCACAGCCATGGCTCCCCACTCCTACCCCACCCCAGCCCAACTGGAAGCCCCAGATAAATGATGGACAGTGGCTGGACTTATGAGGATTTTGGCCATTGTGTCCATAGCCTTGTTCTTGAACCTGGGGTTACCAAGATCTGAGAATTCTGCTAAGCAGCCTGCCAGTACAACCCCCACTGAGCAGGGATGGGTGTCCCCCTTGCCAGACTCCCTCTGCCAGCTCTCAGGGGCCTGGTTTGAGAGTCTGGGATTAGAGGCTGGAACCTCCCCTTATCCTGAGTCAGAAGGCACTCACCTCCTCCCCTCTCAGCTTCTACCTGTCCCTCCTCAAGGTTCACTGTTTTAGCCTGGCTTGCTCACCACAGGGGGCTAACTTGGAACTCTGGGGGTGGGTCCTGAGCATCCCACATTTAAAG